GCAATCGGCTATCGGCCTGAAAATTCACAGATTGTCGGTATCGGCTCTAAAAAAATCAATATAGCCAAAATACCTAACAACCTTGGCATTGTAAGGGAACAGAGCACATAGAAAAAATATTTTTAAAACTTTAAAATACAATAAATTTATTGAACAAAAGAATGCCACTCGCAAGATTGAGTCACATGGTCATATGCACGTCATGAGGCCAAAAGCAGACATCAACCCGAACATAAGTGACGAAGGTTCTACAACTCTCAACCCTGACAAAAGAATGGTATTTTGTAATGATTAAAGTGTTCCATATGTAGCAATATTAATTCATTTTTTTTGTTGTTTTTGGTAATTTTTCTTCTCCACTTCCTTTGGTGTTAGATATCACATTAGTTCTCAAAACTGTACATCTCTGTAAAATCTACGAGGAAGAATTTAAGGGAAAAGAATGCAGGCAAAATATCTAACACTAAACATAATAATTTATAAAAAATTCTGTTTGTATATCTTGCTAGATCCTAGTAGTGTGTCCTCTGACTTGGTATTGATAATCTATAAATATATCTACCTGTCTGTGTCTGTTTCTCTCTTTCATTCAGGCATTAAAGGGTTTAGAAAAAAAGAGAAATCAGAGATCTCTTTTAATGACATTTATTCAGTGCTGTTTATGTTTGAACTTTCCTCCTTCATCCGGTAGAAACTTCCGCATCCTTTTCCTGTGTCCCTCCAAAGATTTGCACAATAGAGGACCAGAAATGCTCCACACTCTTTACTCCACCTTGCTCCTTCCTGCAGGGATATCCTTTCCACGAAGATTCAGACAGAACACTCTCATAAAAACACGCAAACTGAACTGTTCCCATCCGAGCTGCGTTCTCATTTACGTCTGTCAATCACTCTACATACAACAGGCCATTGTTAAAGACATGCATAACGCAGACTAACATTACTCAGTTTAATTGTACATGTATTGATAATTCTATTGTTGTCATTTATTTAATAGTGGTATTTAAGTACCAACCTAGCGTACACTAATGAATAAGCCTCTTGGTAACAGTACAAACATACAGATGTGAGATAAAAGGGAAACTTGGAACCTGACCTTACATTCAAGATCAGGGGAATAGCTGCAAACTATCATTCATTCGTACACACATTCATTATACCATTCACACTTTTTGCTGCCATTCTTCACATCATTAGCGATGGTAAGATTGCTTACTTGTTATTTTTCATTCTGTGATATTCACTCAATACACATATATTTTATTTTTGTCATTGTCTCATTTATCTTACAAAAGTTATGCAGTGCCCTCTGGGTCTCCAGACACTGAATTATTTTTAGAGGAATTTAAAGATGCACTAAACAGGTTTCTAAAATAAACTTGCCAGGGGATCTCTGAGGCCTCAACGCTATAAGCTAGGAATGACTGGGGTCAGATGTCTGTCGGTAACTTCTATCATACCTGACGGGAGCCACAGTGGCCTAAATTAAAGGGCCTGAAAACCAGACATGGTCACCTCTGATCAGCTGACCCATACTTTCCAACAGCACTGATTTTCACAGAACAGTCCCAGTTTTTGGCCTCCTATCCCATTAAATAATTGTCTTTCTACTTTCCCTGCATTTAAAAATTGTTTTACTCATGTCTGTTTAGGTAGGATAGAGATCTCATTCTTTCTTTTTGCTTTAATGCATTAACTTGGCTCACCCCAAGTTTAAAGGGTAATCCACACGTGGACCCCGTGCTCACTGTACCTAAAGGGTTATCAGCTACACCTCACTGACGAGGCCCAAGAGAAGGCCGAAACGATTGTCTGGGGTTGCTGTATCTCTCGTGCAGAGGGAACTCATTGGCATTTTGGATCTGGACCGCCCGTACGGGTGGGACCAGTCTGATATGCTTCAGAGATGTTCTCTCTGTAATGATACAAGTAAGCAAAAACTATTTTGTGACCTAAGCGGGTATTTATTGAGTTTCTCTAAGCTTTTGTCTGTTCTCAGCGTTCTTATTCTTTGTTTTTGCTAGGATACAAGTAACCATGTAAGAAAATCAGGGCTTTCCCGCCTTAATCAATACAGTTGAGAGGCCTGTATTAATAAATATTGCTAGCGCTATAAATTATGTGGTATAACAGATTAAGCAAATATGTTGCAATGTGGATGATAACTAAACAGTGCTTTGCTCTGTGGTACAATGTTTGCCATACTAAGTAAATGCAATCAATTCAACATCCACTTCCCAGGGGGACGTATCCTTGAGGTGTCCACCCCTGTATTTCTCCTTTATATAAATGAAAGAATGAAGCCAATGTGTCACACTAACAAAAAGATACTGCTGCCATAAAATATATTTCCTTTATTCCAAAAGGATTAAAAACTCCATCACAAAAAGCTAACAGTAACTGCATACAGACTCACATAGATGGTGTAGAAGTGCACAGATCAATGTAAGGTAAATAACATACTTTTATATGGCACCTGTCATGTGGTCATGTTTTCAGTAGGGGAATAGTGGACATGGATATAGAAGCCATATTCCCTTTTCCTCATTTTTGGCCATTGTTCCTTTTTGTTGTCCTTTATTTCCATTGTCCCATTGTCCATAGCTCCCAAGATTTTAGAGTAAAAAGAGGTACACTTTCATTTTAGGATTGTGGCTGGGGTTGTTTGAGAACTGCTTGGTGACTTACTAATAACGATTTATGCAAGTAAAATGTAACTTAGAACAAGGACAATGTATCCTATATACACAGACTAATTTCTAAACACATTTGTTGTAGTTTAGATACATTTGGATACATTATTGTCCGACCACAGCTGGAGTGGTTGTGCCAGGGGCTAGTGTATCACCTTTTGTTTTATTCAATGGGACTAAAATAATTAAAGGGCTCCTGTACAATAAACCTCCAGGACCAGATGGATACTCTAACGCCTATTACAAAAAAATGTTCAAAGTTCAACTAGCTCCCTACTTGCTGTGCCGCGTTGAGTCTGATATTAAGGCATCCACTTGACATGCTCACAGCTAATTTAGTTACTCTCCAAAAAAACAGGTAAACCTCGGACACAATACCAAAACGTTAGACCAATTTCATTATTAAACACAGACATAAAGATATTTGCAAAAATATTTGCCACTCGACCTTTACCTGCACCTTCAATCTAGCATTGAAGGGAGCCCTAAGTTCATCACAAATACCATTATCTAATTTCAAAAGGTTATGTTTTCATATAATTCCTGAGAAGAAGTTACTCTCTGAATCCTATAACAGTATAATAAAACCAGTTTAAATAATCCCTCCAAAGTATGCCATGTTATGAGATAAGGAGCTAGCCTCTAAGCAGTGGGAGCGAGGAGCACACAGGATAATGCTCAGAATTAATGCTCAAAATAGCATGTAGATGGCACCTGGTCCCTATCAAGTTGGCACGAAAGAGACCAACTTATAGCAATCTTTGTTGGAGATTCCAGGAGGCCCTGGGCAAGATGCCCCACATATGGTGGAATTGCCTTTCAGTTCACAAATTCTGGAAAAACAATTAGGGAGATAATTGGGATGATCCATGAATAAAAACGTCCATCTGTTTCAAGTATAAAATGTCAAGGCCTGAAATCTCATGGCTGTGGTGGATTGCCTGTAGCAAGATATAAAATAAAAATTAAAAAAAATAAGAGAGGACACAAGTTAACCTTGGTGGGTGCTGTAATATGTTTGATAAAGAGAAAGACAAGTATTAGGAATTAATGGAATGGTATAGCCACAAATATATGGGCACAACTGCTAGGAGAGTTTCTATCTTTGGTTAGATTACACTAAAGGCACCCAGACCACTTCATCTTAATCACTGCCTTTTTAAACCTGCAATTGAAAATATTACCCTTTTTAAAAGTTGTCTTCCCGATACTACTATAACAATAAAACCCGTTAACAGTTTTACCCCCTTGAGATAAGTCAGCACCCAGGGATCTCTTTGCAGCATAACAACTTCATTACTATGAACTTGTTATGGTGACCAGAGTGTTGTTTTAACCCCTACAGCTCTTCATTTAAGCTGTAATGCTTTAGGAGCATGGAGTGTCTCATTTAATGGACTTGTGGGTGAAGAAATATCTAGCAGAATGTTCCACCAACTAGTGGAAGGCCTTCCTTGAAAATAGAGACAGTTGTAACGGAGCTCCCTGTACCCCTGGCTGGGTACCTCCTCCAATGATCATTTACTAACTGGAACAGGGGACAACCCACAGCACTTTTGCCCACAGTTGCTGTGGCTTGACTGGGGCCCTGGAACTGCACTCTCCTGGAGCTGAATGGGGAACTCACTCTAGCAACCCCCAGGCACTGGACAACACTCAGTCCTGGGAGCTCTAGTCCTGTAACCGCTCCCTCCTGGAGCCGAATGGGGAATTAGCTCTAGAAACCCCCAGGCTCTGGACGACACTCAGTCCTGGGAGCTGTAGTCCTTACAATGACTTTCTCAGTTGAATCCTCCACACTGGAATAGTGATGAAAGCAGTGGCGTTTTAGCCACGAGGCAAACAAGGCATTTGCCTTGGGCGGCATTTTTCAGGGGGCGGCAAAAAACGCCGCCCCCAAATGCCCAGGCGAATGCCTTGTTAGCCTTGCGGCTAACTGACCGGCCGGGCGCTGGGCTGGCGGGCGGCGCTGGGCGGGCGGCTGGCGAGGGAGCTCTTCCTCTGAGCTGTCCGCTCAGCTCCCTTGCGCGCCGCAGAGTGAGGCTGGGAGCCGGAAGATGACATCATCTTCCGGCTCCCAGCCTCACTTTGCGGCGCGCGAGGGAGCTGAGCAGACCGCTCAGGGGAAGAGCTCCCTCGCCAGCCGCCCGCCCAGCCCAGCCGGCAACCACTGGACCACCAGGGAGGTAATGAACCCCCCTCCCCACAGCACTCCCAAAGGTAAGGAGGTGGGGGGGGTAAATAAAAAAATGTGTTAATGTGAGTGAGTGAGTGTGTGTCTGTTAATGTGTGTGTGTTTTGTTAGTGTGTGTGTGTCTGACTGTGTGAGTGTGTGTCTGACTGTGTGTGTCTGACTGTGTCTGTTAGTGTGTATGTGTGTGTCTGACTGTGTGTCAGTGAGTGTGTGTTTGCCTGTGTGTGTGTGTGTGTCTGTTAGTGTGTATGTTTGCCTGTGAGTGTGTGTGTGCCTGTGAGTGTGTGTGTCAGTGAGTGTGTGTTTGTTAGTGTGTGTGGCTGCTAGTGAGTGAGTGTGTGTCTCACTGTGTTTGTCTGTTAGTGTGTATGTGTGTGTCTGACTGTGTGTCAGTGGGTGTGTGTGTGTCTGACTGTGTGAGTGTGTGTGTCAGTGAGTGTGTGTCTGTTAGTGAGTGTGAGTGTGTCTGTCAGTGAATGTATGTGTGTGTGTGTATTTAGAAGGTGGGTTGGGGGGGGTTGGCGCGGGGGGGGGGGCGCCTGAGTTTTGTCCTGCCTAGGGCAGCACAAAACCAGGATACACCACTGGATGAAAGTATAGCCCTTTCCCCTACCAGTAACCAGACGACACATAATTGTGGGAGTACAAACTGGAATACCTTTAATGGCAGCCACAACTGGCCTTATATGCATGTCTCCATGCAAGGGGCACTTCCCCTGGACCTGAGAGTAAACCACAGTAGAAACAAATACACAATTACATTGGCTCTCAGATCCAGGACACTCCCATGCATAATCAGATAATCCTTCCTCTGTGCCAGGGAGATAATTGGATTAGGAATTGTACTAATCTAATCCAATTATCTCCAAGCAGAGAAAAAACATACGTTTTCCCAAACACCCCAAAAGTACCTTAAAGATACATGAAACCCCCACAAAAGTTACATCTCCTGATAGCCCTGTTCTGGGTGACCAACATATCAAAAAATCACCCAGATCAGTTCAGGGGTTCAGGAATTTCCTAGAAGTCATTTGTTTGACCAACCGCACACATGGTCCCATGCCCAAAACCGTTTCAGAGAGTCAGGGCTTGTGGTCGGTCTAGTTCGGTAACAAACTACTGAACATAGTCAATAGTCTTACCCTAGAGCTTGTTCCCCTTGTTCGTCGGGACGTTTCCACCGAACAGTGTCTTTCTAAGTGTTGTTGAACCTAACGGAGGCGATCATGGAAGTGTTCGGGAGTTTCAGTGTCCGAAAATAGTTCCATTAACTCGACGTCCAAACACCGCTGCCTGACTTCATGCAAACAAGATGGCCGCCACCTCGGGGTCGTCCATAGGAATTGCGGCCACCCAGACGAACACTTAGAACACTGCGGTGGAAATTGCTACAAACTATCAATTAGGCTTAACAAGCTCCTGGGTGGTCTCCGGTTCGTGCGGCTGTTCGGTTCCCAAACCATATAGTCCAAATACACGACAGAGACTTTTACATCACATTTTACAGGGTCCATAGTCTGTGGGCAGGGGGCAGGCAAGCAGGTTCCCCCAGGAACTTGTGGCAAACTCACTTGAAAAGGAAAGTTTGTCACACTCATATTAATAGCCATATGTTTGAAATTAAATGTTCAATGGCCAGGTGTCCACATACTTTTGATTATGTACTGCACCTCAGTAATGGAGAAGAGCAACATTTTAGGATTGACACATGTGGACATTAAAAAATTTTTTTTTTACATTTCTGTGCCCAGTAGCAAACTGTTTCCTAAATAAACTAAACATACTCTGAATATCGATAAAGGTATTTAGTCGTAATGCAGTTCACACCATTCTGTGCATTTTACTGAGATGTAAGAGGGAAAGGATGGGTTTTTTACAGACAAAGAGAACTTTAAAGGTTATCTTTGGTGAGAAACTAAAAAATAAAACAATTGTGCAACAACAGGCGGGTAGTTAGCGGCAAAGAGAAGAGGAAGCAAGCAGATGTATAACAATCATCATGTCATCCAGTTTTTGGGTGGAGAAGCACATTTCAACCCTTCTATGAACTATGTTATATGAGGCGGAAGTTTATATGCCCTCATCTGTCAAAGTCTCCTAGTCTGAGGGATTCGGATGCAGTATCCAGCCAGGACAAGAGTTTGCACGATGACTAGCTATGTCCCATTGCCTTCACAGAGACTTTAGATTTTCTCTACTTAAATGACAATTGACCATAACATAAATGTGCACAGTTTATTGCTCTTACATAGAGTATGTTTTATGAATGGAGAACAGGCAAAGCTTGAACCTCAGTATTATGTATGCACAGAGATAAGCTTTCATTTTGCTTCGCAGAGCAATTCACATTTATGTTAAATGGCTACTAAGTCACAAGAAAAGGCGACAATAAGTATAAACAAATACAGACAAAGATTTAGTACATAATGAGTAATAATAATCCAATTTTATTGGCAATAAACTCAGTCAATCTCGTAAGTAACATACTTTTCTATCTTAATCGGAATCCTTCCCAATTTCCCTTGGCACATCTCATATATCTTTGCGGTAAATGAGAGGTTATGGTTTTAGTGAAAGTGGGGAATAAATGTCACCTCTTTTAGGAGACAGGTTCTCTTTTATCTATCATTGTAGCTAATCAGGACGTGTGCTAGAGATCAAGATGGGAAGAAAAAAAGAGAGGATAGATGAGGGGGAGAGAGAAGAAAGATAAAAATAAAGGGGGGAGGGAGAAAAAGGTTAGATAAAGAGTAGGGGGAATAACATTAAATAAAAAAAATCTTTATTTTTGTTGTGCATGGGGGGTACATGACAGTATTTCAGACTGTTAAGCAACATAAATCATTATTACCATGTTTTGAGAAGGTGGAACAGTAGAGCTTAGTCTGCACATTTTTTTAATTAATTATTCAGGCTAGAAAGACACAGTGCTAGTGCTGGATTTTAGAGGGTCCAGCTTGTGTAAGACTCAATGGTGTGCCAGTAGGACTGGGGAAACACATAGTGTCAGCCATGATGGGTGTCACCCTGGGTTTTAGGCTTATTTGTGTGGCTTTTCCCTGCGCTCCCTCTAAGCCAGGTTTACGTCACAGGGATGGACTGTGATCGACCCCGACAGCAGTGGGGGAGTAATGTGGCTCTTGCTTGTCATCACCATGTGGTGTTGGACCGGGAGGTCAGTTGCCTCTCTTGCCTGATACACACAAGGCCTCATGTTGCCAGGAGTGCGGACAGCAGGCTCCAGTTGGGTAACAGACCAGTGTCGGTTCCTAGCCCAATTGTGGGTCAGGTGAGTCGATTGTTGTGGTCTATTTAAAGCTATACAGAGCTAAAAGTGTCATGAATTGCCTCCATTTCTGAGGAGCTCTGATGTCTATCCTCCATACTTGTCAGGCCCTGCCCCCCCCCCCCCCCAGGTTTTTATTTTTTTAAATACATAGTATGGTCTGGACTAACAGCATGGCCAAGTCAGATGATGGCAGAGGCTCTGAATGTTCCTCTGTTGGGTTTGTCATTAAAGGTCATTTCTCACCATCTCTCCATTCACCTTGCGCACAGTATTTTTGGAGAGGCACTTAGCCACACTACAATCCATGTAGGATGAAAGTATTAGATGGCATTGGGGAGAGACATACAAATTGGTGAGGGAATCAGAGGGAGACACACACGTGGGTGAGGAGAGGCCAAGAGAAACTTCTGACCTTAATGCCAAAAATCTCAAGTATACCTGTGTTTAGGACTTTCACAGTTCGTGGACATGTACTTTGTAGGTGGTATACAATTAATTTATTCTGTATTTATAGTTACCTACCAATATTTGGAGCTCTGAATACAGAAAACAGGGTGTGGTAGGCCAAGATGGGGCATGGTTCAAGTGGGCATATAATGAAACAATGAACAATATGAACAAACAACACAAACAACACATGGGCTATCTGATCTGAGTACAGTTTGTACAGAGTAAGGGCATCTACTGATGTGTCCACTGCGCACTTATTGGGAAAATGTCTCTGGTAACCATAGAGAGGAACACCAGAATACAAATGACAGAACAAGAGCCCCAAATAGACTGTTTTGACAAATCCAGTGCTGTTGAGAGGTATGTTGTTATTTAAGCGTACCCTTCAAGTTATTGTAGCATAACCCTTAAGTTATTATATTTGATCCATGTTTTACTATAGTTATCATGTGTGGAAAAGTCACATAATCCTACACAATCATCCATTTTAACTGGATTGGGATCTTTTAGTTTGTTTTCCAAAGAAAGAATAAACGAATTGGGTATCATGTTAATTGGCCTTATATTGAGTTATCCTATCTTGAACAGACGCCATCTCTATAAGCTCCGCTACTACCGATCAAATCCTGTTAAATATCTCCATTTACTGACACCATCGAGCCAGGCTTATTCACACCCTGAAAGCAAGCTGCACCTGATCTTTCAGGCACCAAAGCAGCCTAAGTAGAGGCACAAAACTGTGGCCTACTACACACCGTCCATCCCGGACTTGGAGACGCTCCTCGCCGTGCTTGAACGGAGGAGTCACGAGGCAATCCTGCATGAATAGTGCCTACTCCAGCTGATGGTATGCCTGCAAAATGACGCAGCGCATACAAGCCGGGCACTGCCACTGCCAGCAGGGACATCAGGGAGATGCTTCAGCGGCCTGCGTACTCTGGGCCTGCTCTGGTGGCAGACCAACCTGGATTCATTTCTGCTCCAGAATCGGAGCAACAGAGCCCAGATACCGGTACTGACCCGGCGGCTAACCAGCCCTCCCCTACTGAATCCTCCAATGACTCAGATCCCACGACCAAGCGTGATCTGAAGGATCTCCTGGCAGACATACGCAAACTGTTAGCTGCGGACATGAACCTTGTCAAGGCCGACATCAATCATGTCACAGACAGAATGCAAATGGCCAAAGAAAAGATTACAGATATTCAATCTAACCTGTCATCCCTCAGGGACTCAGTACAACAACTTAGAACTGACCACAAGGCACTAACAGCGCGCATGAATATCTCGGAGCTTGCTTGCAAGGGAGAGCGGATGCCATTTCTTGAAGCTCCAGTCAACTGCCCGTAATTTCCCAAAAAAACCTGATACCGACTCACCTCTCAGCAACGCAACACCCGGCATCTGCCTCCTGGTGTCCTACCGATCAGACCCATGCCATTTTTTCATACGCCAAAGGTCTCCTGATCGAAACACAGGCCTACTACTCACCGCCCGGGGCTGTAGTCAGCGCGCTACTCAGTAACTCCCACGGAGTAAGATCTCCCGCTACGGAGTTCCACGACCCAACTGGGCAGGTTGGTAACGAACCGGCAATGGGACGTCGCACCCAGAAACAGATGGCTGGGGCCACAGCAGACACCAGAGATATTGAATCCATGCTCCAACGGCCGCCCCAAGTTAAAAAGGCGACAGAGGCCCACCATGACACCTCACCAAGCCCTAGAGAGCAGTCCACCCCTACCTCACAGCCCCCAGAACCGG